TTTCTTTCTTTCTTTCTTTCCTTCCTTCCTTCCTTCCTTCCTTCCTTCCTTCCTTCCTTTCTTTCTTTCTTTCTTTCTTTCTTCTGAGATCTGTTTCCAAAGGTCTACATAAACACTTGGATTGGGAAGGACCATGGACAGGGACTTAGATGTGATGGCTCCATAAAGGCCAAGAGATTCTCGCTTAGGGATGGACTCACAAGTTGTTGTTTTTTTCATTTAAAAAAAGCCTTTATTGAAATTAAAACATTAAAATACAAATACATCTAAAAAGAAAATAAGTTTGTACAATTCACCACCAGTCTTTGACAATACAAAAATCTTAACTATTCATACATTTTCAGACATTTCTAATTAATCACATACAAATACAAAAATTAATATCTTCTTCTAATATATACATTTTATATTCCTACTGTCTATCCATTGATACCAGTTATCCCAAACTGAGCAATATTCTGAGTCTTTCTTATTGTTTAAATCTATAGTGAGTTTGTCCATTTCTGCACAATTGGAAATTTTACGGATTATTAAACAATCTGTCGGTATAGCGGCCATTTTCTAAGATTGTGCAAGTGCAATTCTTGCTGCTGTGGTAATATGTATAATCAAATATTTTTTATATGTATTTTCTCTTAATAATCCCCAGTAGAATCAATTCAGGCTCCAATTCTATTCAGCAGTGTGTGATTTCATTTAACCATTTTTGTATTATGATCCAATATTTTTTAATTTCTGGGCAGAGCCACCATACCTGGAAGAAGGTACCTTCCGCCTGTTTCCTTTTTCAACAATTAGGGTTTAAGTTCAGATACATTTTTGCAAGTCTTGTTGGGGCTAAATGCCAATGGCAAAACATCTTGTACTGGTTTTCTTTATATGCGGAAAGTTTTGAGGGTAACTAAAATTTTAAAGAGAGAGATGACCGGGTGGGATAAATGGACAAGCAACCTAGGATTTTACGGTGCCTAAAAGACAGCCAAATCTAATATTCCCACTCGTCCTAGGGGATTGATCACTAAATTGGTTTTATTTAGCTTCAAACGGTTACTAAACAAAGCAAGAGAGCTTTGCCTGTACAGCTTTGGAAGAGACGCAGAACAATCAGATTAAAAGGATTTTCTTTTCCGACCCAATAGATGGCAGCATCTTCATAGTTTATCCTTTCCGTGGAAATTGAGATGAATCTCCTTCCTGTCATCTGAATCTCAATGGACATGTCTGGACTGAGTGTAACATGTAGCTCAGCCGCTGGGGTCTTGTAAGTCGCAAACTTAGGAAAGAGGATGGAGAGGGAGGGGCAAATAATTTTAACGCTGTAAAATGTTAATTGGGGTCCAGATTTGCCTTTGGAGCAGCCCAGGGATGCGGACGTGCAACGTACGAAGGGATCCATTTTAAAAGCCATTTTCATGAACACTTTCTTCTTCTTCTTCTTCTTCTTCTTCTTCTTCTTCTTCTTCTTCTTCTTCTTCTTCTTCTTCTTCTTCTTC